GCCCAGAAAGCGCAGACCTGACGTTTACCTGGCAGTGCCTGTAAGTGAGCCAAGTTCTGAGGGCAGAGTATTTGCCCGCTGGTTGGAGAGTGAGGGAGGGGATGTCTTCCCTCGAGAAAGAAGTCGGGAGTGACCTGAGGCTCCAGGAACTGTGCTCAGCTCCCTGAGCCTCCCGAGAGAGTCCATCGAGCCTGACTTCTAAAGCCTCCTCAGTGCTGAGTGTCCTTCCGATGTTAAGACAAATTAATTCTCCTAAGTCATGCAGGCCCCCAAAGAATCACTTTGTGTCATAAGTGGGCACCCAAATGGGGAACCCTAGCTCCCCATCATCAGATTCCTCCACTCGATTTCTCAAAGACCTTGATAAACAAGGTTAGCTAGATTCCTGCCCAAATGCAATTTTCAAGGTCTTGAAATTAATCAAATGAAATGAAATCTCATCCTCTTTAATAAGACCATCAGTATCACTAATAGGCCAGTGGTATCTTTCTGATAGAAGTGTTAATTCAACGGCTGACAGGGATGCCATTCACGTCGACTGCTTAAAATTAGCAGTGGAGCGATAAATGCCGGTGAGCTGAGGCACTGCTAATATTTCCAGGGAATTCTCAGTTCCAGGGGACTTGGTCCAAACCCTTAGCTCGGTTTGGTTGGGAACCTCCAGAGCTGCAGCTTCCTATGGACCAATTAGCAGTTTACAAACATTCTTTCTATTTTTTGTTTCTTGTGGGAAATGTAGAAAATATTGAAGAAAAAAGATAAGAAAAATAAAGTCCTACATCATCTGTGCGTAATTTATATCTAGTCGGTGTAAACATGTTTTAAACTTCCATCCGATCATTTCTCAATGATACAGATCCAAGTATTTTACAAAATTGAGATTATATATTTCTACATTCTATTTATTTCGCATTATATTAGGTGCATTTTCCTGTCTCAATAGATATCCTTAAAAATGGGCACACACAGAGCCCCGATTCAAGCATTACAAAAGCTATCCATGTAACAAAACATTTATATTCCCTTAATATTTTGAAATAAAAATAAGTAAATAAATAAACGCACACACACACAAAGAAAAAGACCATTTAAAAATCAATTCCATAATACTCCTTTGTATGGATTTCAAAAATATTGTGTTTCTGGACAAATTGTTGTTCTTATTTTTTGCTATTACAAAAAATGCATTTGTGAGTATCTTCGCATGTAAATACTTTGCTATGCTTCTGACTACTTCCTTCAAATAGGGCCCTGGAAGTTTCCAAAAATGACTGCGTCCAAGGATGAACCTATTCCGAACTGTCAAATTGCTCTGACACAAAGTCAGACATTTGCCCCACCATATACAACATAAAATACTTCCTCTCCCACCTACAAGCAAAACGTTTGCCAAAGCAAAGATGAAGTTCTTGGGTAAGTTAATGTGGCTAGAGCCTTTTTTTTTTTCCTTTCTGTTATGAAAGTAAGAATACCAAATAGCAGACTACTTATATTGAATACTTACTATGTGCCAGGCACTAAACTAAGCACTTTTTCTTGTGTGATTTTCACAACCTTGTGAGAAAAGCACTATTTTCTGTGTGTTAGTTGGTGACAATTCTTCCTTCTCTCCCTTTCTCTGCCTTAGTTCCCAGAGTGCAGTTCACGTCCCCATCCTGCTGCCTTTGGCCATGGCCATATAACTGCGGGCTGGGCCTCACGCGCCACCCGGACCTCTACCCAATAATTGGGGGGCGGAGTCAGGTGCTTCTGTGTTTCCACAGCAACAGAATGTAACGCTAGCGCGGAAGGGAAAGGCGCGCCGGGCAGTCTCTGCGCGAGGCCCCCTGGGAAACGTAGTCCCCGCGGGCGCCGGAGGCCCAGCCCGCAGGGTTAGAGACTACGTTTCCCAGGAGGCAGCGGGCCCTGCGCTCAGAGCCGGAGTCGCGGCAGGGCTGCCCAGAAATGTGGCTCTTTAGGGGCTTGCAAAGGAGGCTGGCTGAGCGAATCCAGAGCATCCCGCCACGCATTTCTCGAGTGCCAGCGACCGACCTGACTCCCAGGCGAGAGCCCTGGAGCCGCAGGCCCACGCGTGCGTCGTCAGCACCACGCACTGCCCGCATGACCTCGAGTCCTGTCGCTTCCTCACCCTAGGCTAGCACACAGCGGCTGTACCCAGTAGCCGCTCGTTTTCCCTTCCTCCCCCACCAGTTGGGACTTAGCTGGCTCCCTCCTCCCTCCCTCCCCCCTGGATTTGGCCTCAACAATGCCCGCCTGGTCACCTTTCCTCCTTCAAGCGCTGTACCTCGCTCACTCCAGTGGGTGGCCTCCGCCAATACTGGGGCTACTCCTCCCTTCCCCAGTACAAGCCCCACAGGCTGCCCTCAAGCTCCCCTCTGACTCCTGGCATTTTGAAATAAGCGAGGTTTCCGGTGGATTGTCAGAAGTGTCCCAGGAAGCTGGACACCACCTCCCAAGAAAGTCTATCATATCCTGTCCTCTGTCCCAGGCTAGATGGAGTCCTCCTACGTCCTTGTCATAACCCTTGTCACAAAGACTGTAACAACTTCTGGTCTGGCAGCTCCTGAAGCCACTCTCACTCACCCTGGTCTCCCCAGACCTAGCACATTACAAGTGCTCAAAATTTGTGCAATGAATTAATCCAGTCACCAGGGTCCTAAGGAAAGCTCCTCCCCTTCTTCTACATCCCCCTTTCCAGGAAAGCAATGGAGAAGCCTCATCTGACCTCTCCCCCAGTAAGTCTGGGCCCCCTAACCCTTTCCTGACCACCAGCCCCTGTGACATGTTGATAACAGGCTCATCACTGCACTGTGGGGTTAGCCAGGATAGAAGTGGCAGGAATCCTTTCTCCTGCCTTTATTTCTTGACTCACCGACATACACACGTGCAGGTACCTGTGTTGAAAAAAATCCTTTAAGCGAGACTTCACTGTCTAACCCGCTGTGGTTCATCCAGCTGGAACATAAACATTTTCCCTCGCTGAATATCTGAGTTTCGGTGGTCTGCCTGGTGTCTCTGTTGGGTCTAGCAGATACCCCAGGGTGCCTGTTACAGTTTGGGGACAAAAGAACAAGCTGGAATGATGGGAAATGTCCAGACTGTCCAGGGGGCCCATTCACTGGAGCCAGAGCTCTGGGTCTAGACCTTGGGAAGAGGTGGGACTGCAGCCAATGCACTAGAAGCTGACCCTGAGGTGGCCACTGAACCCTTGGGAGTAGATGGGATTTTACATAGAGTGCTAGACCCAGAGGACCATTAGTATCACAAAAGGGCCATGTGTGGCGGCTCATGCCTATAATCCTAGCACTCTGGGAGGCCGAGGGGGAGGATCACTTAAGCTCAGGAGTTAGAGACCAGCCTGAGCAAGAGCAAGACCCCATCTCTACTAAAAATAGAAAAAAATTAGCCGGGCATGGTGGCACATGCCTGTAGTCCCAGCTACTCAGGAGGCCGAGGCAGGAGGATCGCTAGAGCCCAGGAGTTTGAGGTTGCTGTGAGCTAGGCTGATGCCATGGCACTCTAGCCAGGGCAACAGAGCAAGACTCCGTCTCAAAAAAAAAAAAAAAAATTCACAAAAGGCTCTGCTGCAGAGAGGAGGGAGAAACCAAGACAAACATGTCACATAAGCCCAGGAAACAAAACATCACCAAACCAAGGAAATGGTCCCTGGTATCAAAGGCCACAGTGGGGTGAGGACAAGGTTCAATACATGCCCATTGGTGCCCAAAGACCTCAGACAACAGAAGGCATGGAAACCAGAGTTCGCAGGATGGTGTGGAAAGTGAGCAGGGATATGCGGAGCACAGGGAACTCTCATCTAAAGTTTGCTGGGAAGTGTCACAATGGAGCAGGGAGTGATCTCTCCCTGCTCCATTGTGACACTTGTGATCAGCCCCTCACCTCACACCCCTCAAGGAAGGCTGCACTGGGCAACCTTCAGGGTGCATCTCCATCTTGGGTGGGTACTCCTAAGCCCTGCAGCTCACCGACTGATCAGGAAACACTACCTTTCCATTCCCCAAGCCTATCCCCGTGTGTTAAGTCACTGCAGAAACACAGGACATGAGATACGAGAACCATGGGGGAAAAGAGGCAGTGTCTACCCTCCAGAAACAAAACACCACCAGGCAGAGTTCATTTGAGGTCAAGCCCAAGCCCAAAATCATGCAGAACAGCTGCAGAGGTCTCTCCTTTCAGACCTGTGCCCTGGGCCACTCGCTCACCCTCTGTAGAACCCTCTTGGGGTGAATGCAGGCCTCCTGCCAACTCCCTTGTCACCACTGCCACAGGGCCTTCTATGGATATACTTGCCTGAGCCTGCTGCCTCCTGTCTCGGTGCAGCTTCCGGAGGTGGGTGAGGGCACTGTGGATACCCGGGGACACCCACAGACCGCGCTCCCAGTTGGGGTCATTTTCTACAAAGACTTGGAGGCCAGCAGCAAAGTGGGATAGGGCCTGAGCCAGGTGCTCATGGCTCAGCAGCCCCTCACTGGCTTCCTCAGTCCCCATACCCTCTGTGGTCTCCATGAGCTCTGGCTTTGCTCTCTTGGAGGCCAGGCCTTTCCCTGCTGCCCAGGATTGCCCAGAGCTGCTGGCATCCGCATCCTCTGTGTCCTGGGGGACACAGCAAGGTGAGGGTTTCCCATGGGCCTGCAGCAGGTGAGCAACATCAGCCTGAGCCACATCCCCAAGACCCACATCGCTGGCTAGTGCCACAATGCTACGGTGGAGCTGGGACACAGCATTAGGCTCAAGGGAACCTGCAGGCACACACTCAGGCCAGAGCTTCCTCCAGGCACTATTCACGGTAGCAGGCTGCAGTTCAGCCCAGGCCTCCACAATGTTGTCCACGGCGGTCATCACAGTATAGCTGTGCCAGAACTCCCACACAGAGGGCCTGTCATCACCAGCCATCTCCTGGACCAGCTGGCTAAGTGTGCGGCGCAGGTAGTGGGCCTTGAAGGCAGCAATAACACCCTGGTTCATGGGCTGGATTAGGGATGAGGTGTTCTTGGGCAAGAACTCAACATGCACATGGGCCGAGAGGCCACCCAGGTGGGTACGGTGGCAGGGTGCACCATCCAAGAGTAGCAGGGCGCGATGTGGGAGGCCATGGCGGGCACAATAGCTCTCCACAGCAGGGCAGAAGCAGCTGGTGAACCACTCCTGGAAGATGCTAGGAGTTAGCCAGTCATTGCGGTTGGAGCGCCAGACCACAGGCAGGCTGGCCTTGGAGCAGCCTTTGAGGGCACGAGGATTCTCAGAGGGGTACACCAGCAGTGGCTTTAGCTTGAAGTCACCAGCTGCACTGCCACCAAGCAACAGGGTCAGATGGTCCTCAGAGGCCTTGGGCCCAGGCCCGAGCCTGGCCACCCCCTCCAGTGCCAGCATCATGCGCTCAGGCAGCCGCTTCCAGAACAGGCCTGTCTCATCCACGTTGAAGACTTGTCGTGGTGAGTAGCAGCCCTCCTCCAGGATGGTGCGAAACACCAGGGGGTATCGGGCAGCAGCCTGGGTATCGGCTACGGCCGGCTCATCTGTCAGCAGCACATTGTGGCGTGCTTTGAAGCGGGCAAACCAGCCATTGCTGGCCCCAAAGGTCTCAGCCTGGGTACCATCACCCTGTTCTTGCTGCAGCTGTGCAAAGAGCTGGCGTGCTTTGTCCTGGATTAGCAGCGTGCTGACAGGCAGGTTCTGCTTCTTCTGCTCCTCAATCCACAAGCTCAACAGGTGCTCCATGTGGCCCATCACCACACCCCGGCAGCGGGTCAGCTGCGTGGCACTGACTGGAGTGGCCGCCTGGGAATTGGCCCGGATCTTGTCCTTGTTGACACGGATCGAGGCAACAGTGGAGGTGGCCAGCCCCAGGGCCCGAGCGATCTGTGTCAGTTTCTCACCCTCCTCGAACCTCCGCAGCACCTCTAACTTCACGTGCAGGGTGATGGATTTCCGGTCCCGCTTGGCACTTCGGCGGAGGCCAATCTCACCTAGGGGCGCCTTCCTTGGCACCTGTGGGTGGGGGACTGTCTTCATTCCGCCTCCCTGAGCCATGCCACTCAAGAAGCTCTCTTCCCTCTGCCCAGTCCTGGCAGCTACCACTATGCCCACAATGGCAGTCTCTTGCCTTCTCCTGCCATGCCTGCCTCTACCTGTAAGAGGAAGACACACATAAACATTAACGTTTAAGCACATGCCTGGCTTCCCATGCTCTGACATGGAGCACCCAGCCTGGCTTCTTCTCTCTCTGCCAACGGAAACACTGTACACTTCCCCGCCTTCTTTGTAGCTAGAGGACTGTGTCACTCAGTCTGGCTTATGAGATCAAAAGAGAGGTCTACTGGGGGACTTTGCTCTCCTCTTCCAGCAATGGGGGCTATAGGAACCTCTTGAAATCAACAAGGGGAACCCAAGAGGCTCAAGACCCTGACCCACCTCCCAGACACAGATGAGCAGATAAGCTACTCACTTTCATGCTTCTCAGAGATATCAAATGTCAGTGTGGGAGGCTGAATAAGGGCACTTATAGATGTCCACATCCTAACTACAGGAACCTATGAGTAAGTTACCTCACATGGCAAAAAGAACTTTGTAAATTAATAATCTCGAGATGAGGAGATTATCCTGGGTTATTCAAGTGGCCCCTAAATATAATCACAAGGGTCCTTATAAGAGGAGGCAGAGGAAGATTTGACTCAGAAGGCAATGTGATCACTGAAGCCCAGAGCCTCCAGAGGGAACCAGCCTTGCTGATACCTTGATTTTAGCCTAGTGAGACCTATTTCAGACTCTGACTTCCAAGACTGTAAGATAATAAATTTGTGTTGTTTTAAGCCACTAAGTTTGTAGTAATTTGTTACAGCAGTAACAGAAAACCAACACAGAAAATACCTAATTGGTGCCATCACTCTGGAGTACTCAGGGATAGGAGGGTAATCCTCCATACCGCAACAATAATAATTCAGTAAAACCTTAGTCAGATCCTGTCCCTCCTCTGCTTGAGCCCTCCCAGCCCTCCCAGCCCTCCCAGCTCTCTCTGAGTAAAAGCTACCATCCTCACCAGCTTCCTTCTGGGGCTCAAATTCTCCTGCTCTCCTTCCCTCACTCCCGACCACATCTTCTGGGCATAGCAAGGGTGCTCAGAGCTTTTCTTCCTGTGGTTCCTTTGCCCCAGAGCAGTTGCTCTTCCCCATTTTCTGCATGGCTTATTCCCTCACCTTCTGCAGGTCTCTGTTCAAATGTAACGTTATCAGAGAGGCCCTCCTCCCCTGTATTTGTGTGTCTTTCACACACCGCCTGAGGGCAGAAGCTTTGTCTGCTGAACTATTTTGTCCCCAGGCCCAGGAACAGTGCCTGACACTTAGCAGGCACCCAACAATCACTCACTGAATAAATCATTATTATTATTTCTGAGACAGGGTCTGGCTCTGTTGCCCAGGCTGGAACGCAGTAGCAGGATCATAGCTCACTGTAACCTCAAATTCCTGGGCTCAAGCCATCTCCGGCCTCAGCCTCTTCAGCAACTTGGACTATTGGCGCACGCCACTACCACGCCCAGCTAATTTTTTAAAATTTTTGGTAGTGATGGGTGTCTCACTATGTTACCCAGGCTGGTCTCAAACTCCTGGCCTCAAGCAATTCTCCTGCCTCCACCTCCCAAACTGCTAGGAGTATATGTGTGAATAAATTGAATAAGTACAGTGGTAGGAGGCAGGCCTCTCACCTTGTCCCTCTTAACATTTTGAACCATGCTAATGTAGCACATCATTAAAACAGCAGAATTTTTTAAACGAGTGCTTGTGAAAGCAGAAAAAAAAGGTCTGTGTTTGTGGGGTGGCTACCACACCTAGGATGGGTACCTCCATGGACCAAGCACCTGTCTTGAAACAAGGTTGCATAGCACACAGAACTCTTAGCTGGGAAGGCAGAGAAAGGCTGTGGGCATGGGGAAGGCTCCGACCTGGTGGAGGTGTTGAATTCTGAAACACGCACCCATCCTTCTCTCTCCCACATCCATGCCGTCGCCTGCTCTCCCATAATTTTAAATTAATTCACCGACACATTCACTTATTCCCTCCCTCACCCTCTGGACAGGCAGCCTCAAGCCCGCTCGCCGCCCAAAGTCTGGGGGCAGACAGGGATCGTCCCTCCAGACTACATTTCCCAGACGCTAGAGATGGGCAAAGAACCGAACAGCGCGCGCGTAAGCGCCGAGAGACTGAAGAGGCCCGCGAGGGGACATTAGGGCTGGGGGCGCTTGACCCACGGTGTCGAAGGCTTGGCGAACCCGCAAGCACAAAACTCAGGGCAAAAAATCCCTTCAACCGACTAGGGTACCGGAATCGGGTCAGCATCTGCCGCAGTGCGAACCTGGAGGCCAGGGTCCAGCCCAGAGAGACTACATCTCCCAGACGGCCGTGGGGCCGCCGAAAGCTCCCATTGGCCCACTGGTGTGCGTCCTTGCTGCGCGCGCAGCGACCTCTCCGGTCTCCTCCCCGCGGCTGGAGCCGAGAAGGCGCCGCAGCTCCTGCTCCCCCCAGAACTCGACCCCCGGCACGGCCGACCACCCTCACCTCCGCGCCGCGACGTGAGCCGTCTGCTTCATCTGGGCCGGCGGGGCTTCGGCCTTTCCCCATCGACCGCCTCACAGCGTCTTCCGTAGGAGGCCGAGCCCAGCCTCCATCTTGGCGGCGGAGGAGGAACGTTGCCGCGCGACCGCCAGGATTGGTGGAGGTCGCGTCAGGCCCTCGCCCGAAGACGCGCTCCGCCCAGCGCCCTGCGCCTGGCGCCCCGGGGGCTGCCGAAAAACGTAGTTCCACGACGAGACTGCGCCGCGCAGAGTCTGGGCTGGGACGCTGGAGGCCATTTCTGCCCCAGGCTGGCTTTCTCACTGTCTAATTTCTTTGTTTTTACAGCCGTTCTCTCTTCCTCCTTCCATTCCTAGCTCTGTCTGCTCCTCTTCCCTGTCTGTCCCCCAGCCCGAAGAACTGGTTCGCTTCTGAACTGCTGAAATATAATTTTCATAAAAGTTAAAAACCTGTCTCAGCACATGTCAAAGATTTATTTACCTCAGTGAGGGAACCAGCAAGGTGACCGGAAAATGGGAAAGAAAAAATAAACACTTAAAAGCGCAAAGTCGGATACAAAACTGCTTAGTGGTCTACAGGGCGATACACTGCACAGAAAACATTTGCAACCTATCAATCTTTACAAGGTAGCATCTAATTGAATAGCATCTGGACCTTGATTAAAAGTAAAAAAAAGAGTTGCTTCACATAGGGAGTCAGATGACCCGAAGCAGAACTGAGAGGGGGCTTACAGTCATCTTTTTGTCTTACTGTCAAGTTTTGAATAACTTTTTCTAATAAATCTGCCTCCAACTCTTCTAGTCTCTCTTGCTTTCTATCATCTTTCTCCGAGTCTTTGAAAACTGTCAATCCATCTTACCGTATCTCTAATTTCTGTCCCTTTCTCCCGTCTTGCCTCTGTATTCCTGTCTGTCCCTGGAGTCTTGATGTCTGTACTTCCTGTCTCTGTGGATCCATTCTTCATTTCCCTCTTTGTCGTTGTCTCTCCTTTCATCTTCATCCCTTCCTGATCTCTCTCCCTGTTCCTAACTGTTCTGACACACCTCCCTGGCCCTGATTCTGACCCTCTTTAATGACAGTTGAAATGCTCTTTGACTTGGACTCCTGTCTGTTTGTTTACTTACTTTTACTGTCTCTTCTAACGTCAAGACTCTGCGCTCCCAGTCTGTGAGACCCTCCTTCCTTCTCTCTCTTCCTCCCTCTCTCTCCCTCCCTTTCTCTCTCCCTCCGTCCTGTCTCTGTTTCTGCGTCTGTCTCTGTCTCCTCACTATCTCTGTCGGGGACCATCTCTCTGCCCCAGTCCCCCCACACACACACACACACACACTCCCTTACTCTTCCTTCCGCTGTGCATTTCGAACACCCGCCGGGTCCCGGGGTTGCCCTGGCGACAACCGGGTCAGGTCACCGAGCTACCATGGAGACGGTCAGGGCCGCCCACCGCCCACGATCAGAGGAACGTAATCGCCCTGCGCTTGCGCGAAGGGAGGTCACCGGCCGACTACATCTCCCAGAAAGCACTGGTTCGAGCCTCTCTCCATTTTGCGGTCCGGAAGGTAGCAAAGGGAGTGGACCCCCCCCCCCACTCCCAGCAAGGGGTTGCGACGGAGACGAGGGGGGGAACTGACGGCATCCTAGTGAGGGTCGTGATTGGTGCAGAACCCTGCTAATCCGGGGAAGGACTGTAGAGAATTGAGGAAAACGTGGTGGGGGGCATGCGCGGTCTGGAAGGCGGTACTGCCGTCCGTTGCCCTCCAGGAGCTTGCGCAGGTCGACGGGGGCCGGACGCCTGGATTCGAGGCGGGGAGCATGCAAAGAGGCAGCAGGCAGTGGGACCTAATCATTGCGACCACCGCTACCCCCAGGGGACGGGAGGAGGCGGGGTAGAAACGAAGGCGAGGGTGGGGGAAGGGTAAGGAGGTGCTAGAGCTGGTACGCGGAGCGTCCTGGGAGACGTAGTCCATCCTGGGAGGCAGAAGTCGGCGAGTGCGCATGCCCAAGAGCGCGGAGCGGCACGCAGAGCGCGGAGGTGAGGGCGGGGGAGGCCTCTCGACCGGGTATGCTCGGGTGGGGAATAGAGCGGCGGCTGCGAAGACCGGGAGCGCAGGGCAGGAATCCTGGCAATCCCTGCAGGCTGGCCCTGTGCTGTCGCGCAAGGCTCATCAATCACCGCTCGTTGCCAAGACAACAGGCCTTGAGAGCTCCGCCCCCCGGTTGCCATGGCGGCACATCCTAGAGCGGAAGTTACCCGCCTAGACTTCTGGGAAGTGTATTTCGGGAACCTCCGCGGGGACTCGCCGGCTTAATGACCCAAGTTTCTCCCAGGATTTCAGGTTGACATGGAACCTTGAGGAGTGGAGGTTTGACCCACGGGATCAGGCGGCCTTCGAAATTCGTTCCACCCTTGGGGGGATGACTGTGTGGCGCCATCCCCTTAATAAACGGCAATTCCTTCACAAAGCCCAAGCTGCAGAAGGAAGAGCCCGAGCAGGGAGGTCAGCCCCACTTGCAGATGGGGAAACAGGTTCACAGAAGCACAGCGACCTGAAAACGGACAGAATCAGGATCTCGGACCTTTCTTGCACGCTCCTGTTCAACCAGTGGTCTGGGGGGTCTTTGCAGCCCCTTCATAAGTTCCCTCGTCACTTCCCAGCCCCACCTAAATCACGGAGCTGAGAAATTGGGCCATTGCGTGGTGTGATAAGTTGGGATCAGAGGATGGGACTGAGTAGAGAGAAGGTGCTGCCTGAGGGCTGGACCAGCGAGTGGCTTTGCACCAGTTATGATGGGAGACCAGGTGGGTGAAGCAAGGCTGCCCTTTGGAACCAGGATGGAAGGAGTATGATGGTGGAGCCCCAGTGAGGGGCCAAATCTAAGACTGGGTTGGTAGGAGAGTGGATGATGAAGTGAGGAGCTGGCGTTGGGCAGGGGGGTGGCAGTGGAGCTATTGCACAGGGCTTAGGTGGTATAGATGCCACCCATTTGGTAAAGAGATCGCCACGGGGCAGGAATGAGGTTGCATGTGTAGAAGACAGGCAGGATTTAGGGAAGAGAGAAGGTGTCTTCTAGGCCTAAGAAACAACCTGTGAGGCCGGGTGCGATGGCTCATGCTTGTAATCCTAGCACTCTGGGAGGCCGAGGCAGGGGAATCACTTGAGCTTGGGAGTTTGAGACCAGCCTGAGCAAGAGCGAGACCCTGTCTCTACAAAAAATAGAAAACTTAGCCAGGCGTGGTGGTGCGTGCTTATAGTTCCAGCTACTTGGGAGGCTGAGGCAGGAGGGTTGCTTGAATGCAGGAGTTCGGGGTTGCAGTGAACTGTGATGATGCCACTGCACTGTAGCCCCGGTGACAGAGTGAGACTCTGTCTCAAAAAAAAAAAAAAGACAAAAAAGAAACAGCCTGTGTTGGGAGCAAGAGGGCTACCAGAGACTCCATACAGGCCCACCTAGAGAGGAGGCCAGGGACATGGGTGGTTCAGTGAGGGCTTCCAGCCCCATGAGTCCCTGGGGTATGACCTGACTCTCTGAGCCTCAGTTTCCTCATCCGCTTTCCGCATGGGGTAGGTCTGAGGTTTGACCAACACAGCGTATAGTAGGTACTCAATAAGCATTCACTGTCACTGTCTACTCTTATTGCAGCAGCCTTATTCCATTCCTTTACCAGGGGCAGACAGTGGCCTCAGAAACCTGACCTGGTACTCCCAATGAGGCCTGCTGTGCTGGGATCCCCAGGCACTGCACCCCCAGAAGATGAGGGGCCTGTCATGGTGAAGCTGGAGGACTCCGAGGAAGAGAGTGAAGCTGCCCCATGGGACCTGGGCCCCGAGGCTGCACGTCTATGCTTCCGGTGCTTTCACTATGAGGAAGCAATAGAACCCCAAGAGGCCTTAGCCCAGCTCCGAGAGCTATGTCACCAGTGGCTTCAGCCGGAAGTACACTCCAAGGAGCAGATGCTGGAGCTGCTGGTCCTGGAGCAGTTCCTGGGTGCACTGCCCTCTGAGATCCAGGCCCTCGTGCAGAGACAGCGGCCAGGCAACCCCGAGGAGGCCGCTGCCCTGGTAGACAGGCTGCGCCGGGAGCTGGGCAGGCCTCGGAGATGGGTGAGTCAGTGGCCCTGAGTGGAGGGTCAGGATTGGCACATTGTCCAGCTCTGCCTCACCCTGGGGGTGCTGTGCTTGGCCAGAAAACCATCTTCCCTCATGGTACAGAAGTGGCCACCTGCCACAGGACAGAGTAGTTCCAAGGCCAGCCTTGCCAGCCCATTCCTGCATTACCTGGAGTCACATGGACACAAGGCTGCAAGGCAGAGTGAGACAGGGAGGTTAATGGGCAGCCCAGGGTGTCAGCAGGAGGAGAGGGATTGCAGGTGGTCCCTTTGCTCCTTGCTTAGGGCTCAGGGGAAATAGGTCTTTGGAAGACCTAGTCAATAGTTGTTTACCAGGCAGACCCCTGGGGTCCTACAATGGGATGGGTGCCTGTGAACCCCAGGTTGTGTCCAGACCCCTCTCTGCTTGAGCCTCTGATGGTGGGGACACCTCCCCAGGTCACAGTCCAGGTGCAAGGCCAAGAGGTCCTATCAGAGAAGATGGAGCCCTCCAGCTTCCACTCTCTACCTCAAAGTAAGCCTCAAACTCCAGAGCCTGGGCCAGAGACGCCCCCTGGGGCCATGCAGAGATCACCACTGCTGAGCCTTCAAGTGAAAGAGGAGCCAGAGGTTACAGAAGACCCAGGTGAGGATAAACAGGGCGGGCAGGGCCTGAGACCTGGTTGGGTAGACCAGAGGAGGCCTGGTCTGAGTAGTCTGAAGTCTGCTGGGCCAGGCTTCTGCTAGATGGGAATGGTTTACATGTGCTAGCAACCCCCACGTGCCACCCAGTTGGGTCTCCCCTGCAGCCTAGCCAGTGTGGTCACTATTCCTTGCACACCAAGCCTGACTGCCACAGCCCTGTTTCCATGACTCTCCCCTAGCATGGAGTGGACTGTTGGAATTTCCTTATGTAGGAGGCATTCACTCCCTGAGAAGATCCATTGGGGGATATCCACTGGTCTTTGGGGAACAGACAGCAGGCTGCAGTATAGATGGCTGCTACTGAGGGAAGACCCCACAGTGCTGGGGGTATGCCCACCCATTCACATGCCAGTCATGGCACCTAAATCAGCCGCTCACACTCTGCCATTCCTATGTGGGCCCTTGTACAGCCACCCTTACTGGCCATCCTGTCCCAGGGTTTATGTAGGGCCACAGGGGCGCAGACCCAAGCCCACCTCATTCCACTGCAGCTCAACCCCTGGCTTGCCAGGGTACTGTGCTCCCAACTCTCAAGCTGGGCCCTAAGCTGCCCTGTGCTGCCCTTCCCAGCCCCAAGCCCACACCCAGGACTCCCCTATACCTGGATGCTAGCACCTGGCACACCCCTGAGAAGGGCAGTGGGGTGGGAACTCCCTCAGGCTGCCTGACCCAACCCTTCCTCTCTAGAGCCCCTGGATTTTGGGCCTCTAGCTGCCAGCCAGGAGGCTGCACCCATCCTCCTGCCTGAGGAGGCCCAGGTGAGCCCTGCACAGGCTGTGCCTGCCTCCCTGCCCCAGGAGCTTCAGTGGGTGGGGGTTGAGTAGGTCCCTCCCTGAGCCCAGCCAGGCACAGACGAGCAGTGACCACTGTGGTTTCAGGGCTGTGGAGCAGCGTTGGATCAGGCCTTTCCCCACAGCAAGATGGGGCCTGAATGGCCCTCATGGAGGCAGCACCCTGGGGCCCTGTGGCATGAGGAAACTGGGGGCATCTTCTCCCCAGGTAAGTGAGATGGGGCATGGTGGGGTAGACCCTCTGCATGGACAGCACTACCTCTGCCAACCCTGCTTCTGGCCCTACCCAGGCAGCCCTCCTCCTCTAGCATCCCCAAGCTCCCCTGTTCCTTAGACCATCCCCTACAGTGTTCAGCCTGCTTGAGCATCTGCTTTCCAAAGCCAAGCCCCCCAGTCACCCGACAGCCCCTCCAGCTTTTGCTCCCCACCAAAGTAAAACCTGAGAGTGGGGCCTATGTTCCCCACACCCACATTCTCTACCAGTCCTGGCATCTTGGATGGCCCCCAGACTCTGGGCTTGCATCCTGCTGGCCGGGCACTGGAGCAAGGAAGGTCAGGACCCGCAAGGACAGCAGGTTAGTATACAGGGTGGGTGGGCAGGAGGGACCTTGATACAAGATAGGGATCCAGGCAAGGACAGACCAGGATACTGCCCAGTCACCCAGACGTCACAGGCCAAGGCCCTGTGACATCTATCTTTCAGCCACTGCCCTGATCTGCCATCATCCAGGCTCCCTAACACCCCTTATCTTTTAAAAGCTCCCTGTTCCCCAGACCCAGGGTCTCCTCTTTCTTGGTTTACTCCCTTGTTTCAGTGGAGCTTCCTGTGAGTTCTGATGTAGGAAGTAAAATGCTGAGATGTCACATATCTGAAACACATTTGTCTAACCCTCAATGTTAGATTGAAGTTTGCCCAGAAAAATTGTTTTGACACAAGAGTCTTGCTCTGTCGCCCCGGCTAGACTGCAGTGGTGTCATTATAGCTCACTGCAACGTCAAGCTCCTTGGCTCAAGCAATCTTCCTACCTCAGCCATCTGAGTGGCCGGGACTATAGGTGCACACCCAGTGAATTTATTTTTTTTCAGAGACAGGGTCTGACTTGCTCAGGCTGGGTTTTTTTTTTTTTTGAGACAGAGTCTCACTGTGTTGCCCCGGCTAGAGTGCCGTGGCATCAGCCTAGCTCACAGCAACCTCAAACTCCTGGGCTCAAGCAATCTTCTGCCTCAGCCTCCCGAGTAGCTGGGACTACAGGCATGCGCCACCTTGCCTGGCTAATTTTTTCTATATATTTTTAGTTGTCCGATTAATTTCTTTCTATTTTTAGTAGAGACGGGGTCTCGCTCTTGCTCAGGCTGGTCTCGAACTCCTGAGCTCAAACAATCCGCCCGCCTCGGCCTCCCAGAGAGCTAGGATTACAGGCGTGAGCCACCGCGCCCGGCCCTCAGGCTGGTTTTGAACCCCTGACCCCTCAAGCGATTCCCCTGCCTCAGCCTCCCAAAGTGCTAGGATTACAGGCGTGAGCCACCACACCCAGCCAAGAATTCTTTTTATTAACTCAATCTCAGACCTTTTTTTTTTTTCCAAATTACTGTTGTTGGTGAGCCCTTTCAAATTGAAATTCACATCTTTCAGTTGTGGGAAATTGTCTTGAAATGTTTCTTGGATTTCCTTCCCCTCCATTGCTCTGTTCTCTGTTTTGGGCATGCCTGTTACTTGGCTGTTGCCCTCCAGGACAGATCCTTTCATGTTCTTATCTTTTCATTCCAGTTTTCCATCCCTTTGTCCTTCTGCTATGTTTTCCAGGAAATGTTCTTACTTGTATCTTTCAGACCTTCTGTTGAGATTTTCATTTCTGCTAGCATATTTTTAATTTCCAAAAGTGTTTCATTCTCTGATTGTTCATCTTTTTTCTTTTTTTTTTTTTTTGAGACCGAGTCTCCTCCCTCTGTTGCCCTGAGTAGAGTGCCATGGCATCGGCCTATCTCACAGCAACCTCAGACTCCTGGGCTCAAGTAATCCTCCTGCCTCAGCCTCCCAAGTAGCTAGGACTTGGGAGCGTGCACCATGACACCCGACTAATTTTTTTCTATCTTTATTAGAGATGGGGTCTTGCTCTTGCTCAGGCTGGTCTCAAACTCCTGAGCTCAAGCAATCCTCCCGCCTCAGCCTCCCAGGGTGCTAGGATTACAGGTATGAGCCACCTCACCCGGCCTGACTGTTCATCTTTAAAGTGTTGTTCTTTCACTTGTAATGCCTTTCCTTATTTCTTTGAGGACAACAATAACTTTTTTTTAAATTTTTTAATTTCCTTCTACCAGTGTGGTCTCTGTTCCCCACTAGTTGTTGGTTTTTGTGTAAGACAGGGGTGCACAAATCTGCCTGGCAGCTCTGAGTAGCTGGGTAACGGTCTTATTCACCATGACAACACTAACCAGCACTGGGAAGGACGGGGGGAAGCCCATTCCCAAAGGAGATCCATTTGGGGAACGTGAGTGGGTGGCTGGAGTATGAATGGATGCCACTGAAGGATCCATGGGGCAATCTGGCTGCGCCATTTGGGGGCTTTCCCCACTGTTAGCATCTTCAGGTCCTTCCTCTGAGTCCCACAAGAAGGAACTTTCAGCCTCCTGCCAGCATGCTGTGAGAGAGGCTGATGTCTCAGCACCAAGTGTGACTGTTTACTTAATTTCCCTGACTTTCTCAGTACAGTCTCCCACCTTCAACACAGCCTTCTGCTAGGATGGAAGAAGAAATCCAGAAATCAGAGCCACAGCAGTGTACATTGTTGGCTCAGAATCCTGTGCAGACAGAGCTCAGAGCAGCAGTCCTGTCCAGCGTCTGCTTCTCAAACTGCCTTTCCTAGCCTGGGTGGTGCCCTGCGCCTTCACCTACAAGGCCAGAGGTACCTGGTACCTCCAACTCCCAAGTTTTTAGAATCTTCTTTGAAGTAAAACTCTGCCTCCTCTTTGTAGCCAGAGATGTCTTTTTAATGTTTTTGTCATGAGGTTATTTTAAATAGCTAATACGTTCACGTTAGAAAATTCAAAAGGCACAAGATGGTATAGCAGTGGAATGCCCCTCCCCTGCCTGTGCCATGAAGTCCTACTCTCCAACAGCCAACATTACCAGTTTTATGTCTTTCCACAAAGATTCTGGACATAGAGAAGCAAACACATATACAGATGCATGCTCATTTCCCTTCTATGAAACTCATATTCCAGGCTGGGTGTGGTGGCTCATGCCTGTAATCCTAGCACTTTGGGAGGCCGAGGCAGGAGGATTGCTTGAGCTCAGGAGTTCAAGACCAGCCTGAGCAAGAGTGAGACGCCATCTCTACTAAAAATAGTAAAAATTAGCTGGGTGTGGTGGTGCACACCTGTAGTCCCAGCTACTTAGGAGGCTGAGGCAAGAGGATCACTTGAGCCCATGGCACTCTAGCCTGGGCGACTGAGTGAGACTCAGTCTCAAAAAAAAAACAAAAAACACGTGTTCCAGCCTGAGCAAGAGCGAGACCCCGTCTCTACTAAAAAATAGAAAGAAATTAGCTGGACAACTAAAAAAATATATATATAATTAGCCGGGC